TCAAATGTTCTTTTGACGTACATTGGTCGCTGTAGTATAAAAAGTTTCAGACTTTCTTACTGCAAAAAGAGCTGCCAAAACCTTGTTTCTGACAGAGGCTCCGAATGAAGTAGAAAATAATAATGTTTTGCATGTGCATAAAACTTACTAAAATTATAAATGAACCTCAATAGACACATACAAAATGAAATAAAAATAGAAAAGCATGCCATGACCTCTTTAAAAATAATTTGCTGACATTCTGTTTGAGAAAAAGTATTTTTGACCACATAGTTCAACTAGCAGACTTTATCAGTATTTCATAATATTTCTGTTAAAATCGGCCTCATTAGTTGATCAAAGTCAATATTTGCAACTCATTTTACTGCTGAGATATACGATATTTCTGAGTAAAAAAAGCAGGGCGCTTCTTGATTTTATCAGTTGATAATTGACTTGAAAAATGAGAGTATCAGAGTTCCTGAAACGCTGCCAGAACCCCATTCTTTGAAATGTAGGCTGCCTTATTGACGTCAACTGAAAAGCAAATTAGACAGCATTTTCATGAAAGATAAACATGCATTTTCATTAGAACAGCATGCACTTATGAATCATGCAAAGTAATGCCAGGAATGAATATAAAAGTATAAAAGGTTGATTTTGTTTTCATGTTGACTTCACTGACAAAGCAACATTATCCTGAAGCGAGATCACAAATCACTTGCATAGTTTTTCTTCTTTTACTTTTACGCTTCCGGTAGGTGTGATCATCCTAAATAAGAGTTAAGAATAACCTTTTGCGTAACATTGCTGGACTGCAGCTGGGCAGTGGCATCATGTAGTCCTAAAAGTCAAAGACAGGGGGCGCCATTGCATTTTTAATCCAAACAGAAGCAAGTGCTTTGTATTCTTCAGAAGTGCCTCCTACGGTCCAGTTGCTGCTTTGAAGTGCTAACTTGCACTCTATGCAGTCTTTTCACTTGCTTGATGAACATTTTGTGCTATCCATATTTGCTCGGCACGTGCTGACAGAATTATTATGCATCATATTTGAGCTAAATGAGTTTGGTTGTCCTAGCAGAGCTGTAAGGTTATTTTTCCGTTTCCGTTATTTTGCCGTATGCCCTCTCACTTTGAACTTCAATTATATTTGATCAAATCACATCACACAAGTAGCGCTCTTAATGAGAAGCACACAGGGAACTTAATTGACCCCAATAGAGTTTGACACTAACATGCTGCTAAACTAACAGTGTGCTGGTATATTTTAGGTGAAATAAATTTCACTTTTTCACTTTGTTCATCACATTTTCCCTGCTCCGTATCTTTGAGGATTCTCAGTTGTGTCATCTAGGTCATAGTGGGATGTTGTGGGTCTTTGCTCGCTGCAGAAAGCGCTGTTTGATGGGGCCGGGGAGGTGAATGTCACATGAATCACAGTCGATCAGATATTGAGCAAAGAGCGGGCAGACAGTCCTGATGGATCAGGTCGCTAGAGAGATATCGGACAGGTTTTGATGAATGCATGTTTGCTCGCGGTCCGATGGTGGTGGTCGGTACTGTAGTAACCAATTACAGGAACTTTGTCAATACGTGTAGCTGGAGTAAACGATGAGGGCATCGGGACAAAACCCTTGGAGCATTTCATTCATGTATATCAATACAATTTGCATTATATTGAATGTCTTCCCATTTAACTGTAATATCCTTTCTTGGTAATTACGGCATGCAAATACAAGCATAATTATTCATCGGGCATTTTACCTAAATGCAATTTGTGTCTTTGATATACCTGTAAAAAAAATGATTAAAACGAGCATGTATGTTTATGTTTTTATGATGATATTTATCCTTACCTTTTTGGACACTTTGAATAACAAAATACATGAATGTGTGTCTTTATTTTCTCTCTATATAATAATGCATTATTAAAAAGATTTATTTTGTCCCCAGTTAATGTTTCAACCTTTTTTCCATCCTTTCCCCATTTTTTAAAATTAAGCTTTGGATAAAAAATAATGATGTCAAGATTCTTTCAGTAACTCTTCAAACACATTTGTTATTAGTTTTCTAAAGTAAACAACTGATAATTGAAAAGTTAATATTTAAAAATCATTGATCATTTGGAAAAAAATATCAATCAATGAAATCAATAATAATAATAAAAAAAATCAGAAACAAAAATAGAAAATAGAGAAAAAATAGACCAACTGTGTTAAATTATCATTTTATGAAGCCCCTTGTAATTTAATAACATTGAGCATAAAGCTTGTAATGTCAGATTATTCTCAAATACTGTCCATCCATATATGATTTATTCATATATGTGACCTTGGAGCACAAAACGCAATAAATTGAGATTTATACATAATCTGAAAGCTGAATAAATAAGCTTTCCATTGATGCATGGTTTGTTAGGATCGGACAATATTTGAAAATCTGGAATCTGAGGGTGCAAAAAAAATTAAATATTGAGAAAATCATCTTTAAAGTTGTTCAAATGAAGTTCTTAGCAATGCATATTACTAATCAAACATTAAGTTTTGATGTATTTACGGTAGGAGATTTACTAAATATCTTCATGGAACATGATCTTTATTTAATATCCTAATGATTTTTGGAATAAAAATAAAATCAATAATTGTGACCCATTCAATGTATTGTTGGCTATTGCTACAAATATCCCCCAGCGACTTAACACTGCTTTTGTGCTCCAGGCTCACATATGTCCAAATGATTACTATCATAAATTGTTACAATTATTAAAATAGTTCATAAAATAGTACTTCAATTTAACATAGCACATTGCAACACTTTAAAATCATGCAAAAATCATCTCATCAAACTGGAAAATGCCCCCATTTTAGAGAACGCCCCCCCTAGACCTTCTGGTTGACACACATTAATGTGTGTGAGCAAACTCTGTCAGCTCTGCGATTGTGCTAGACTGTACATCTAACTAATTCCCACAATCTGTGCTCTGCTTTAAAACACCATTCATTAAAAGAGCACCTAATTACAGCAGTTGCATTATCTATAATTATTTTTCCAGCCAACTTCCCAGATAAAGGTTCCTCTGTGCAGTCAACTATGCAATTATATTTTTAGAACACCAGTAATTCACGTAATTAAAGTAGAGCCTTTCTTACAGACATCTATATATAGTGTGTAGAAAATGCTTCACGTCGGATTTTAAGCAGGAGACAATGATGTGCTATCATGAAAGACCAAACACACACTTTTAAGCAACTTAGAGTGTTAAATGATGTGACGTCAGAGCTCCTCAGGTTCACATTAGATGTGAATATTCAACCAAAAGGTGTCCAAAATATGTCAAAAAATAGTTTAGTTGAAAAATGCATTTACGGCACCTTTTTATTTTTAGTAAATCCTGATACCTTTTTTGGGGCCCTGTTTTTCAAATCCTCTCCGGTTTAATAAAGAGTCAAGAGTAATTTCTCACATCATTCAGCAGTAAAACAGCACCATGGAAACAAGGGTGGGTCAAAACATGAAGGCTTTTTTAAAACCCCGGCTGACACAGTAAAGCCATGCATTAGGCCTCTAGATGGCAGAAAGTCCACACCGATGCACCGCATCCAAACACAGCAAATCAAACTCTGAGGTTAATTACAAAGATCCCTCATGCGGAGAGCGTGATTGCTTAAATATTCTTCAGTAATAATAAAAAAGCTTGGCTATTAATAATCTGTCCGTTCACATGGTGTTGCTGCCAGACCAGATTGCGTTTTGAATCTGTAGCTGAATAAAAGTATTTGTACTGTATATGCATATCATGCCTGCTATTATTGAAGCATTGCAGATGTTTGTAATTTCATGCAATGCTCAACTTTAAAGATGATGATGGACATCTGATGATGGACTTGCCATTAACTGCGATTAATAAATGCAGTTATGTAGTATTATGAACCTAATGTAGGCAGTGAGAGCATGATGGTAAAAGGTTACGACTTCAAAAGCATTCTGAATTCAAATGAAACACTGTATGACTTCTAAACCAGCACACGGTGTGTTTCTCCTGGATAATATGCATGCACAATGTCACTCTTTGAGACACATTAACGCATTTTGGGTATAAGTCAACTAATGAAAGGCTTAACGCATTCTCATTCTGACAAGATAAAGCATGGTTGCGGTATACTTAGAGGTCATAGAAGAGATTAGTGGTGGGAAGTATAAATACAACCTTTTATCATGGCAACAGCATCATGATATAGTTGCTTATGATGGAAATTAAAAATATATATTTTTTATATATATATATATGAAAAATAATACCTCTTTTTGGATAATCCACTGAATTAAATACTTCACAAAAAAGATGCAAACCAAAAAGTGAGATCATTCATAACAAAGTCAGTGCAGAAACTTTGAGTTAAAAACAAAAGATTCTAAACTCTGTTTGAAAAATATTACATTTAACATTAAATTGTCGTGCAATAGTAACCCGAGGCATTTGCTCACGTGTGCAAAATTTAGTTGCCTTTCTTATAACTGGATCTAGATGGAAAAGACAGCAAAAGCTAACGAGGGTCTGCAGCGTCTGCTCAGGAACCGTCACGGGATGAGCACGTGGGAGTTTTGATGCCTTATCGCTGATCTACAGGAGAGAGATCTCCCACACATGTGCCACCTATCTCTGCTGTTCACCCTGTTTGGAGTAAAATATACACTATTATCACGGCTCTCCAGAATGCCTAGACGAGCCGCACTCAGACACATCCACTGCGGAACGATATGAGAAAAACAAACCTACAGGGGAGCCTCGGTCTACTGAGCACAAGCTAAAATTATATTTGGCATATACCCCTAGCTAGACGTCTTCAGAAGTACCATCCTCACCTGCTCTAAAATCCACAAATCCAACAAGTCTCGATACGTTTCTGTCTCCCGTGAGCTGCGGGTGATGCCAAAAATCTAATTATTTTCAAATTCTCTTCATTTAGCCTACACATCTGGCAGATGCTTTTGTCCGAAGCTCCTTCAAATTCAACATTTAATCAGGTCTTGCATTCCCTGGGAATCAAACCCATGACCTTGGCATTGCCAGCACGGCGTCGTGCTTTACTGGTTGAGCTACAAGAACACACAATAGTCCATTTTGCTCTCTGAAATGCTCTATTAACTAGTTATTTCAGATGAAAATATGAAGGCTATTTGCACTTCTATATTTTTCACTATAAGTGAAAATACTATTTTCTTAGAGATAGATGCTATTTACACTATGTTAAAATAGCATGATTTTCTGCTATTTATACAACTTATTGCAAATAGTGGCAATTATTTGAACCTCAGTATTGTAGTTCATTATAAAACACACATACTATTAACTGTGACGATAAACTGTGACTAAACTATTTTGCTGCTTATTAATAGCTAGTAAGGTAGTTGTTAAGTTTAGGTATGAAGTCGGATTAAGAGATATAAAATATGGTCATGCAGAATAAGACATTAATATGTGCTTTATAAGTACTAATAAACAGCCAATGTGCTAGTAGTATGCATGCTAGTTAATAGTGAGAATTGGTCCCTAAACTAAAGTGTTACCTTTTTTTCATAGTTTTAGTTAGCAATCATAATCCTGTGTGTAATTCATATCTGCAGCACAGTTTTTATCTGGAATAGTGTGCATCAATGAACATGACTAGTAATAAAATATTAAACAAATAAAATAAAAAATAAATGTTGATTCCAAGTTGGCTTCATACTATACAGTGTGTTTAAAAGTGAGAACGAGAGCAAACAGGATGGACTTTAGGAAGAACCGCTCTGAGCCAGCACACTTGATTGACAGACTTTGAGGACACACGCTGAGCTCCTTGAGGCGGAGCAATGACATTCGGTAGATGAGCCACCTGGTGAACGGAGGCCAATGGGGGATTCAACAGCGGCCCTTCCGTGATTAATCACATTGTCGTAGATGACAAATGAACAGCTACCGCTGTAACCTACTTTAAAGTGCACAAAGATCCATGCCATTTCACCCCCTTTTTTAACGCAAATGAAAGCAGCCAATTTCCTGCCCTTAAAAACATGACATATAAACAAGAAACCAGTAGTTCTGTGCATGTTTCCTCTTAAATACAGAGTTTCGGCATGAAACTCTAGATGGCGCAGTCCGACAGGTCTAACTCAAGCTGACCTAATGACATCATTATCACATGGCACAGCTGATTGGTTCTCTCCTGTATCGGTAGCCAAATGAGCTCGCTGCTCAACATTCAAATATATGACTAGTGCTTGCCGTAGTAGTTGCAGCTTGCTTCAGAAACCCTCCACCTTCCCCAGCTCCACCTGTATAGATCTGCTACGAGGTGATTCATGTACACTATATAAGGGTTATTTCATGTATGTTATATTTGCAGCAGCAGTATTTCTTACATGCTCACAGCAGCATGTTGTGGATGTATTGGCAGTAGCAAGTCTCGGTACTTGCTCTGCTGCAGCAGCAGCAGCATAGCAGAACTATTCTGCCAAGACCAAATACATTAACATTGTCATGTACATTACCATGCCAATCCCTCCGAGAGTTATCATGACAGAACTATTCCTCTTAAATACAGAGTTTCGGCATGAAACTCTAGATGGCGCAGTCCGACAGGTCTAACTCAAGCTGACCTAATGACATCATTATCACATGGCACAGCTGATTGGTTCTCTCCTGTATCGGTAGCCAAATGAGCTCGCTGCTCAACATTCAAATATATGACTAGTGCTTGCCGTAGTAGTTGCAGCTTGCTTCAGAAACCCTCCACCTTCCCCAGCTCCACCTGTATAGATCTGCTACGAGGTGATTCATGTACACTATATAAGGGTTATTTCATGTATGTTATATTTGCAGCAGCAGTATTTCTTACATGCTCACAGCAGCATGTTGTGGATGTATTGGCAGTAGCAAGTCTCGGTACTTGCTCTGCTGCAGCAGCAGCAGCATAGCAGAACTATTCTGCCAAGACCAAATACATTAACATTGTCATGTACATTACCATGCCAATCCCTCCGAGAGTTATCATGACAGAACTAGTATTGCACTGTGCATAACAGCTTTTACTTCCAGTCCAAGAGAAGGGGCTTCTCACTAACTCGATGCTAAAAGGACTCTCTTCAGCTCCATATGTTCTGTGAATTTACACTGACCAGGTTCCCTTTTATGGTGGTGTTGTGACTAGAATTGTTAAAGTATAGCTTTATGTGTGCAGAATGCAGTGTAAAAACACCTCTTTTGTAAATGTGGCCTATTACAGATTGTGCCTTATTCCCAAAAGCCAGTGATTTTCCATAAACAACCAATGTCACACTATTAGTTCAAAAATAAATTTGGTAGGCGCGTGTTCATCTGGTACTCTCAATCACAACACAAGCACACATAAACAGCTGCTTAACGCACTACTGTGCACATTAACTAGTCCAGAGAGGAATTTTCCAGCCACGCTCTCCATTTAATCACATTGCAGTCTATGTTTGAGATGTATTAGTTTTTGAATTATATATTTACTCTGCGTCACTCCTGTAGTGATGCACTGAGGGAAAACGGCTTCTGATGTCACGCATTGCATTGATGAAACCTGGCTGCAGTAGTGCGGTTCTTGTCTGGTAAGATTCTTTAGCGTTTTGAAGCAGCCAGTTGGTCTGAGTGCACATGCTTTGGCTTGTCCAAAAAAACATTAAACAGGCAAACAGACTGCTCAAAGCTCTCTCTTCTGCATAAAAGAGGTCATGAGCTTCCCACGGACTGACCGACGGTTCTGCTGACACGGCCCAGGTGCTGGGGAAATCACCTGGACAGGACTTGGACATGTGATTCCTCCCGGCAGCTGTTCCTTCGGATAACGAGATGAACTTGAAGCTGGTGCCTGCAGTTGGAAGTAGAAGGGAATCAGCATTTATCACCATAAATGAAATTTGCAGGGTAGTATAAACCAGTTACTCTCAACTGGTTTGCTTGAGGAAATCAAGTGGTGACCAAACATAGTACCAAAATAGTTTGTTATACAAAAGTAAACAGTGTATAATATGCCAAATAATGAACATGACAAATGCTGAATAGGACAAATTAACCATTTAGTTTCTAAACGTCTCTTGAATGGTTTCATGCAAGTAATTATTCACAAAAAACACATTATGGTCGACACAAACTGTGTTCACCCTTGTTGTAATTGAACATCTATTTAAAAGCTTAAGACTTTAGAAAAATTGACATGTTTAGGTAAAATAACCCATTTCATGTAATTTCTCTAATTCAGGTAATTACATTACATTAGTGAACTAACAATGAGAAATACATTTAATCATTTTAGTTAATATTCAATTCAGTGTTTACTAATACATTTTAAAATCAAAAGTTGGAATAAGTTGAGCAACCAGTACATTGAGTAAAAATCAACAAATGAGACCTTGTTGTAAAGAATTACCAATGTTATCGGTAATATAGATTCAGATAAGACTAGGGACACATTATCTCTTGATTAATACTAAAGTATTTTAGTTTATATTAAAAGTAGTGCTGTCAAACGATTAATCATGATTAATCGCATCCAAAATAAAAGTTTTTGTTTACATAATATATATGTGTGAACTGTGTATATTTATTATGTAGTGTATTATGCTATTATGTATTTGTATTATAAATGAAATTATTAATTATTAAATTATTTGTCCATAATGCGGTGCACATTTTGTTTCAGTATATTGTATAAAATATTTGGTAACACCAATTCTCACTGTTAACTAGTTGATTATTAGCATGCCTATTTATAACATATTGGCTGTTTATTAGAACTTATAAAGCACATTTTCTGCATGACCATATTCTACATCCCTAATCCTACCCCATACCTAAACATAACAACTACCTTACTAACTATTAAAAATGAGCAAATTAGTAGTTTGGTGCAAAAGCGTCTCAGGTTACTTATGTAACCATGGTTCCCTGAGTAGGGAACGAGACACTGCGTCCTCTAGGGGTCGCTATGGGGAACGCCTCGTCGTGACCCGTGTCTGAAGTATTTCAATAAATAATAAATCAGTGACCTGATGTTTCCAAAATACACCAAAACAAATGAATAACCCATTTATTATTATTATGGTTTGTTGCATTTAGCATTGTTTTCCCTTTCATGACCATATTAGAACAGACCTGCAACCCATTTTTTGGTTCACGACTCACCCAAAAATAGACTCATTTGGCAGGCGATTTTATCTAAAGCGACTTACATTGGAATAAAGGTTTACATGTTATCAGTTCATGCATTCCCTGGCAATCGAGTTCATGACCTTGTTGTGGCTAACGCCACGCCTGACTGTTTTAATTAGGGTCAGAGTCTATTTTTGGAGAGGGAATGTCAAACTGAGAGTCTCCCATAATATAATGAAACAGCAAAATGTTACAACAGTGCTTACAATGCAGCACTATATTGATATTCCTGATTAGGGTTTGCTCTAAAACACATTTACCTCAAAGTATTAAACCGTAAGAATTACACTGCAATTAATTCAGTTTACAGACTCATTCACACTTAGTTTTTTGGGGATTATTTCAATCCATACGGCTCTGTTGAAGTGTCATTTACAAAGAGCCAAAGCATTAAACCTGGACTTACTTAAAATGTAATGCACTTCTTTTGCTGCCTTGCTAGCACTAGTATTTCATGTGCAGAATAGTAAGGATAATTACGAGTTATATCCTCTTGTATTTTGTGATTGTTAATATGCTGTCAAAAAAACCCTGAACGGTATGTATTAGTACCATATGTACCCTTTAGGGCTAGATAAGGCACAAAGGTTACCTTTGACAAGATAAAAGTACTTATTTTTCTTGACAGAGTGTGTGTCTATGTGAAAGTAATCCATGATAACTACCGGGATATTTTGAAAGATGTTCAGGTTAGGTGAAGAAAACAAAGGTGTCATAATTGTATTTGCACATGACCGAATCTTTCAGAATTGTTTGTCAGTTCAAAACAAACATACTAGAATATCGCTAGTGCAACATGCGCCTTGAAAAACTGAGCGCTATCAGGGTTCATCAATGCCACAGCTGCGACCTCCACCAAGAACATGACAAGTCCATTTACATGTCCTAAAAGAAGCGTTCCATAAACAGACACTGTTTAGTCTCTGATGTCACTCTAAACCCTGCAAGGTTGTCGATACACATGACAGATGTCAAGTGTTCTTCTGATGAGACCAAGAAAGTGACTTTAAAAATTCTCTATAAGGGCAAACTTAAAGTTTGAGATGTGTAGTCTGGTAAAATGGCCAAACTGTTTTGTTTCGCAAGTTATTTTGTCTTGTTCAATTTTCAAGTTTCAAGTTTGTTTTATTTATATAGCACATTTAAAAACAGCAAGCATGGCTGAACAAAGTGCTGAACAAACAAAAATATAGAACACAGGGCAACCCACAGATTCATACCATAAACTCACAAAGAATTGAAAGCCAAAGAGGAGAAATAGGTTTTAAGAAATTATTTAAAAACAGGTAAGGACTGTGCCGATCTGATATAGTCTGGAAGGCTGTCCCACAGCCTAGGGCCAGCAACCGCAAAGGCACTATCCCCTCTATGCTTTAACCGTGATCTGGGGACAGAGAGAAGTCTTTGGTCACCAGACCTCAGATTTCGTGTAGGATTGTATGGATAAAGTTGATCAGATAGATAGCTCGGTGCCAGATTATTTATAGATTTAAAAACATAAAGAACAATTTTAAACTCAATTCTAAGATGCAGAGGTAACCAATGCAACAATTTCAAAATTGGAGTAACGTGATCAAATTTATGTTGTTTTTTGAGGAATTTAGCAGCAGCGTTTTGTACTAATTAGAGACAAGCGATGGATGATTTAGAAATGCAGAGGTAAAGAGAGTTGCAGTAGTCCAAGCGAGATGTAATGAGCTCATGGATAGCAATCTCTAAAGTTTTCTCTGAGAGAAAATATTTAATTTTGGAGAGAAGACGTAGCTGAAACAAACAAGAACTAATAACCACATTTATTTGTTTATCAAATTTGAGACTCTGCTCCCAGAACACACCTAAGTTCTTGATACAGGAAGAAGTAAAGGGAGCAAGGTAGTCCAGATCGATACTTCTGCTCCCTGAATTTTCACTGGGGCCAAAGACTATAACCTCGGTTTTTGATTAATTCAGAACCAAGTTTACACTTCATCAAGGCAAGCAAAAAGAGAATCTAGAGCAGCATGTTTATTTCGTTTTAGAGGTAAAAAAATTTGGGTATCATCTGCATAGCAGTGAAATGATACACCATGCTTTCTAAAACTAGAGCCCAAAGGAAGTAAATACAAAAAAAAAGAATGGGTGCGAGAATAGAACCCTGCGGCACTCCACAGGAAAGTTTAGCAGGCGACGAAGAGCTAAGAACAGTTCCCCGGATGCCCACAAAATATTCCAGTCGAGACAGAAGAATTTTATGATCAACTGTATCAAAAGCCGAGGTTAGGTCTAACATAATTAGAATAACAGAGTCACCAGAGTCAGTCGCTAAAAAAAGTATCATTAAGGACCCGTAATAAAGCAGACTCTGTGCTATGCAGAGGCTTAAAACCAGACTGGAAAGTTTCAAAGATCTGATTTGCACTAAAGAAAGACTGTAACTGAATACACAGTTTTCTCCAGTGCTTTGGTAATAAAAGGAAGATTTGAGATGGGTCGAAAATGGTTAAAATTACTAGCATCAAGTGAAGGTTTCTTAAGAAGAGGTGTCTCAGTAGCTTATTTGAGGCTATCAGGGATAGTCCCTGAAATTAAGCATGCATTCAGAAAAGACACCAAACTAGGTGTCACATTTAGATCTAGAGCACATATACAGAAGGATTAAAAGGCTTTAGAGCTATAATGATTCTTTGCAATTAAATTAGAAAAATACTTAGACTTTCACTGCTTTCTGAAAAGTAGCAAACAGTCTTTAAGCATTTCATAGGAAATGTGCAATTTGTCCTTTTTCCATTTTCGTTCAGCTCTTCTACAAGCTTGCCTCAGAGAGCAGATGTTACCATAGATCCATGGTTCAGTTTTAGGTTTTGACTTCTTGAGTTTAAGATGAGCAGTGGTATTCAAAACCTCTGAGCAGGCAGTATTTAACAGACTAAGATGTTGATCATCATCCAAGTCAGGTAAAGATGACTCCAAGGACAGAGACAAGCACATCTCATTAAAGGTGTTTGGGAAGTCATCACAAAAGTGGGAAGAAAAGGAAAGTCTTGTTTTGTGCAACAGTTTGTTTCGGTCCCTAAATCTGACAGATCTGATCGTCACCCTAACCCTAACACTTTAATATAGGGACCAATTCTCACTATTAACTAGTTAGTTAGTTAGTTTAGTTTATTATCCTTTCAAAAATAATTTTTGTATCTGTGGCAACTCTTCAGTGATCAACAACAATAATTAACAATACAAACATCAACAGGTTACAACACATCACAAATAAATACAACCAGCATCAAACAGCATCCCGCTCACAACAACAGAATCACTGCCATAGATGTACAATGACAACTGTGATATCACAAAAATTTATTTAACAGAGCTATACTGGATGATATAAAAGATCTTTGTGCACGGGCAGTCCGTAATAATGGTACCCTGTACCTTCGACCAGATGGTAATAACTCATATTCACCACAAAGAGGATGAGATGCATCGTGAAGAATTGTATGGCTTTTCCTCACAGCTCGAGATTCACATAGTTTTATCAGACTATGGTGTTGTTTATATTTACATCCCATGTCAGTTTTTTATCAATGATTGTCCCTAGATATTTATATTCATTTACAACTTCAATGCCCTCACCATTAACAGTTATTTGTTGATGAGTGCCTTCTTGTTCTGAAGTCAAAAATC